AAAAAAACTGGCGCGGACCTCAGCCATTCTCCGCGCCAGAATTTTTTCAGAAGTTGATGGACCATTTTTTAACCGCCTTTATTCAATTGACAGTTAATATAMCGGTTTTTTACTGAAAAAATGAGCTAAAATTTTCTACTAGCATTTGTATGGGAATTGCCAATAACTTGCCAGTACGGGGCTTGCCTTTAATAGCTCTAGTGGAGAACGTGCGTACCGTACCAGGTACTTCGTACTCGTACGAGTTAATTGCTCCTCGTCCCATGTAATGTGATAGCAAGCCGCGCGTGTCAAAATAACAGTCGAGATCAATACGAGCATTGCCTTACTCGACCCAGATCATGACATTTTTTAAAACTGGCACCGTATGTTTGATAGTCACGTACAATACTTATTATGGCTTACCGTACCGTATGGTTGTCCATAGTACCGTACTACGTTATGAACGACGATGCTGGAATACTACTTACTAGTCTCTACTACGACTTGTCCATCAGGTTAGTAACCTGTACAGTATTGTACGGTATGACTAACGAAAACGAACGACCTCTCCTCACATTTCATAATGTTATTAATTATCATGTACTCGTACCGAACGAAGTACGATATCGTACTTCACGAAGTAAGGTTCAGGTACGAACTCGATTTCTAACGACCGGGACGTTTATTTGCAAAGGGTTTATTATTAGCAGAACTACAGTATTTGGTACTTCTTAGTTCGTATTATTATTATTTCATATCTCAAGCTCTACTACGCACGGGGACTCGTAAGAGAAGAATCAGATCTATTACCGTAGTCACGGAGTAGGTAAAAGTACTCGTACTTGTACCTGGTAGTTGAGAATGAAGCGAATCAGCTATGGCTCGTAGTTTCTTGCGGCGACGAAAAGTTCAGCCAGAATTGAAACATGAAAGAGAAGCTAGTCAATCAATCAATTATTGTTCTTCACTTTTTGCTAGAATTGAATACATATTCTATCTGCAGTTTTTCGATTCTATTGAAGTCGTTAAGTTTGCCGAACTGTTCCTCACGTTTTAAAGCCACGGAAAGGAGACTGCATTCAGCACTAGCGAGACAACTAGTACTGTATTTTGTTTTAGAAAGTAGTTGAATTTTTGACCATAGTTTTATCACTACTGTAAATACAATAAATGAAGAGCATCCTAATCCACATTGAAAAATGTGTGTATTTTGACTCTAATCTGTCACATGCGACAATACGGCACACAAGCAACAATTAAAATCATGAACAATAAGAAAAAAGGTTGTGTGGCTGACCGACCATCTGAACTCTTTTCCGTGATGATTAAGTAAAATAAGTTTGTTTCGAAAGACTCATCCTTAAACTGTATGTGAATCTCACTTAACAATCGTATTTTCAAGATTATGCCAATTCTATGAACGGTGCAGCTCCTTTGATAAGGTTTTGAAAATGGATAGAAGTCGCGCAAGACAAAGTATTTATTGACCTCGACCTTTCATCGAAACTATAAGCATATTTAATATGACGTGTCCTAATTGATCCAATGACAACGATCTTGAAGTACCTATTCTTCGTTCTTCTAGTGAGCTGTTTCAGATTTTCAGATTTTCTTGAGTGCGTACTTGGTACGCAGAGTGTAACGTATGCGTCATTTATTAAAACGAATATAACTCTTCTCAAAGAATGGCTTGGCGTCACATTTTCTCGCTCGCACGCTATCGGTGCGCGGTGAAAAAGCTACCACCGCGGACGAAACTAAGAGTAGCCACTTTTCGTTTTTGCTCTTTGCTTCTTCGTTTTCACACTTCCAAAAGATGAATGTAAACATCAAAACACTGCAATGAATCCTGAACACATCACTGGAACAGTAGCTGCTGAGGTTATTGGGAATAATGCGAATTGTAGCGGTTCGGTTTGCATGATGTCCCTTTCTAATCACCACGAGAAAACCACTGGCATCGACGATTCTTCTTCCTGTTATCTCGGCAATTCTAAAAATCGTGCGAACGAGGATCACCGCGCAGTGATAACAGAAGTGAAAGAGAATGACGACAAAGAAGGACAGTATCCCCCAAAAACAAAAGGAATGAAGAAGCACCGCGTTTCCGGAACAGATGCCATGATGGAGAAAACAAACAAAGTGGCCTCGTCCCTGAAGGATGCCATGGAGGAACTCGATCGCATCTGGGACGTGGACGACGACGACAATTCATGTGCCTCGTCGTTGTCGTCTTTCGACGAAGACCACGAGAAACAAATGCAAAACGTAGAGTCTTTGCCGTCGTCTCCATCGCGAAACCGCGTCCGGCAAACTGCTGCACTGCTGGTCCGGGTCTTTTCCAACGAGCTGTACGATCCGGCCGTTCAGGCTCTCGCGGAGCACGAGGAACTCAGGTCCGAGGCGATTAATCTCACGCACCAGCTTGAAATCAGTCAGAGGGAGGTCAAGCGCCTCAAAGGCTCCGAGTTGCGGTCGAAAGAATCCATCCAGGTAAGTATAGTTAGCGATGTCGTTTTAATTCGATTCGCTTCACAGAGTATCATCTCGCAGCGATTCTTCGTCTTTTCTCATAGTAATTACTTATTCATTTTAATCGACACAAAACAAACAATAACGAATGTTCACAGAATCTTCTCAAGGCCGTCGACCGATCTACTGAAGAGGCAAAGGATTCTTCGCAGGCCAAGCTGGTTGAAGCAAAACTACGAGCCGACCTGTTGCAGACCCGCAAGGAACGGGATGATTTACACCACGAGTCCATGGTGTCAAAGCGATCGCTCGAGCTAGTGACAAACGAAGCAAATTCTCTCAAACAGGAGAAGAGCCGACTCCAGAAAGAAAATATTCGTCTCGAACGGGAGGCCCGTTCAGCACGAGTGCTAGCGGAATCTCTTTCGAGGAGCAAGAATGCAAACCTCAATAACGGTAACGACGAACACAATGCTGAATTCTATAAACGGAAGACCCGTGATCTCGAAACCCACCTCCAGGGAATGACTGCCCGTCTCGCGGAAAAGAACCAGGAGCTTATGGAATTGCGCCATTGTCGGGATCGGAATCTCTCTCAGAACCGATTGGAGGCCCTTCGAGCTGGGAAAAAGATTTCCAACAAAAAGATTCGCGTTTCGAATGCGAGATGAGCGAAACCAAAAATATTTTTGATTTTGGATGTGAGATGAGCTGTACTGTACTACTGTAAACACAATCCCAGAAGGGGTGGGTGAAAAAAAAATCCGGGGAAATAGCACACCAACTATTGCATCTAGATCCAATCGGGGTACAGCTCGTACCTGATAAAATATTAGAAACTCGTTTGATGCTTTGATTCGAATGAAATTCCGTTTGTTACTGTAATATTTCAAATACAGTAGTAATCGATGAGTTGAACAAATGACATGCCAACCAATTGCCAGCGGGTTCGGCTCTCGCTGAGAAAAATTGAACGTAACGGACTTTGGATGAGTACGTACTCGTCATACTGTGAATATTGTCATTCTTCAGCAGCCATCACAAAACAGCGGAAAGATTTTTGGTTCAATAGAGACCGATCGATTCAGTGCATAACCAACTGAATGAATAGCAAGATGAGAGGCAGCAGATGCAGCAGCATCACCACCTTTATCGTATTTCAGGAATCCACAGTGGACCACAACAAATACAGCGACGGCAGCGGCAAGGGCGACAGAAGCATCGGCAGATGTAGCGCTATTCTCAATTGGTCCATTGGGATTATAAAGCGATCCATTAAGTTAGTGGGTATTGCTTCCATAATGTTCGGCTTGTTCTGGTTAAGGATTATTTGTTCGTCACTTGCCTCGGTGGTTGGCGACAATACAGAGCCCTTGAAAATAAAAGCAAGCAGTTCCATTGATAGCAGCGCCAGTACAAATAGCCCCTATGTGAAGCTCTGCTATCAATCTCAAGAAAAAGAAGACAAGAAGGACGACGACTGGAACGAGGAGGACTACATCAAGCGCATGAACAAACTGTTATCTCATTCCAACACAGTAACCTCTGTCCCGAACTACCCTAAAAACATTGCAGTAATACATCACAAGAGTAGGAGCAAAAGTAGGAAAGCTCCCGAGACACGAGTGCAAATAAGGAAACGAGTCGCACGACAAATGGAAGAAGAGGCGAACCAAACCGCACCATTTTTAAAAGCACCACCCTTGAAAAAGAAGAACGAAACCAAGAAGCAAATGAGGGCCCGAGTGGCACGCCAGATGGAAGAAGCGGCCAATCGACAAAAAAAGAGCGTCTAGTGAACGGCAGAAAAAATCATGCAATCCATCCACTTCAATGACAAGAAGTAACAGTAATGATTGCCTTTCAGTGGATTGGGTAACCGAAAACTATACGAATAAAATCCAATTAACATACATTAAACCAAATCGCATCACGATACTCGCTTCTACGCTGTTTAGAATAGGACCTGCCTTTTGCACTCGATTTCGGCTCATCCATTCGTCTACTCCTCGTAGTCTGCGGAAGCTTGGTTAAGATAGATATGACAACGAAGGTAAGGCAGTGATACCGGAACGGCAATCGCCTTGTCGGCTTTTTGTACGGTATCTCGAAAATTCCTTTCTCAACATGACTAACTTGATTAAAGCCAGGGGAAGTCGAAAGTTGGGAAACTCGTCTCGTGCCACCAACATCTCATTTCCGTAACTTTATATTATATTTTTACAGAAAAAAAATCATGGTCAACCTAGTAGATGCTTTACATTAAAAATTTGTTGATACCATGTTTTTACATTTTTCTCCCCCTCAAACTCCCTTATTCCAGAAGGACAATTCCAGTCGAATAACGACTATTTCTGTACTTTTTATTCTATTCGACTTCCATGATTAAGTTGGTGGAGCGAAGACAAAAACTGAAATATGACCGCATGACCGCATCAGAGTTCGACACGACCCTTGCTTGCCTTCACCCACGATCCAGTGACATGACCTCTCGTCTCAGAGTGCGAACCAAGTACAAAATCTTTTCTCACGGGAAAAACTATCACCATAGTGAAATTGAACACGAGTAATGGAAGTACCATCCAAATCAGATGCAGGTACCTACAACACTGCTTTGCTGTCCATAATCTTCCTCGCTATTCGCTACAACAAAGCTTTAGCGTGTCCAGCGATTCTGACTAGCGTCTTCGACTCCATCATCGCTAGAAACCTGCTGCTACTAGCTCAAACAACAGTGCCGGTCGAGTCGTTTTTCTTCCCCTATTCCCAGGGGTTCTTCAATCGAACAGATTTTGGTTTCGTTTCTGCCAACCGAGGGACCATGGGTCTAGACCATCATGCACGCCATCTGGAAGAGCTCCGCTCGAATATCCTGGCTGGCATTCCTCGGTCGCTGATCGGAACCTCCGACAACAAGCACTACAAGATCACCGATCCGGACCTAAGCGAAGCCAAAGAGTTCCTGGAGACCCAGGCCTGTGACGCGGCCTGGAAGCACAGCCTGGCAAAGTTCATCGTCCTGAAGGAAACCCTGCAGTCCGGAGCACCCAATGGTTCCTGCGGAGCTATTCCATCCTCGGTCTCGCGCCTCCTCGAGATCCCGGATCTCCTCCAGGAAATGCTCGTGGCCGATGGACCCACCGGTGGCAACTGGCCGAGGGCCATGGAGATCTACGAAGAAATCCAAAGAGAGAGCGACGCGGTCTCGGATACCGAGGACCACCCCGTGTTGCACCGGCTAGCGATCGCTATTTCCCTGGTCCACGCTACTCCCGTGGCACAAACGAATCCCCTGGCCAACGCCGGAGACGAAGACTGTGACAACCCGGAGGACGTTGTCGATCCCGTCCGGCGCTACCTTAACTACGAGATTGCCTACCTGGAGGGAGAACTATACCCCTTCTTTCCGACGCTTACTACGTGGGAGCTTCGGTTCGTCGTCGATGGGGACGAATCCGACGAGGTTGCGGCCTGGGGCCGCTCCGCCCTCCGAAACTATTATCCCGACCACGTCCTCTCCGACAATCCAAGCTGGTTCTGTGCGTCGATCGTTCAGACAGACGTTCCATACGGATCGTCGAGGGTCAAGKACGACGATCCAAAGCTCCACAAGTACCAGAACATTTTGAGGAACGGGGGCATCTGCGGCCGGAGGGCCTTTTTCGGCCGCTTCGTGCTCCGGGCCTTTGGCGTACCGACGACGGCCCGGCCTTCCAAGGGCCACGCAGCCCTGTGCCACTGGACCGGTCCGGGGGTAGATTCCGACTGGGCCGTGAACCTCGGTGCCGGCTGGGGCAAGGGGTGGACCTGGACGAGATATTCCAAGGACCTGGACTTTCTGGCCACCACCCGGGCCCGCAGGCGGAACCCGGCACGCTTTTCCAGTGTAGCCCTCGCCCGGTGCCTCGGAGACCTCTTTGGCGAGCCCAAGGTGTACGGGATCTACGATCCGAAAGAGAAGGGATGTAAAGAGGGGGTCCCGTTGGATCTAGGGGATAGAAGCGTGATCGGGCTGTGGTATCGCCTCTCCCTGGCTTTGCAGGAATCCATTCTCGCAGCTCCCCCGAGCCCGGCGTTGCTTCCAAACTCCGGGCCCGACGAGACCCTCATCGACACCGCTAGGAAGAAACCATCCCACATTGGGTCGTGCTCATACGGCACGGACGAGAAAGGGAGAGCCACCATTTGCCTACCGGCTGCCTCCTTTGCCGATCCCAGGGGAACAAAGGACGTTTCTACTATGAAGGGGTTTTTCCGAAGCAAGTGCAACACGCAGATCCACCTGCCCCCGTTTCAACCCCAGGGAACTACCATTCTCCGGGGCGGAAGCTGGAAGGAGGAACCCACCGGGTTGTGTCAGTCCGGTGCGAGGCTACTCTCGGGTGGAAAGGGAAAATACGAGGACTGGGGCCTTCGTGTGGCCCTGTCTTGCGACGAGGACAATCCGGAGCCCACCCGAACCGTCGCCCTGACCAGGGAGGTGACCATGGAATTCGTGTACATTCCGCCGGGCAGTTTTGTCATGGGTGGAAAGAAAACATCCGACAGCCGGTTCCGGTGCGTGGAGGTTCCGCACCACCCTGTGGCGATCACCAAGGGGTTTTACATGGGGAAGTTCCCTGTGACGCAGGCCCAGTACGAGGCCGTGAGGGGCACCAATCGCTCCAAGTCGACCAGACACCCGAGCTGCCCGGTCGACAACGTCGGCGTCGAAGATGCCTCGGCCTTCTGCCTGGACGCCTCCGCGAAAAGCGGTTCCGATATCCGGCTTCCCACGGAGGCCGAGTGGGAGTACGCGGCCCGCGGGAGCACCAGCGGTGACTCGGCCGGCCAAAGCTGGTTTTTCGGCAGCGACGCCTCCGCCATGGACGACTATGCCTGGTACAAGGCCAACTCGGGCGGGAAATCCCATCCCGTCGGGCAGAAGAAGCCCAATCCGTTTGGCCTGTGCGACGTCTACGGAAACGTCTGGGAACGGGTATCGGACACCTACAAAAAGGAGTACTATGCCGAGCTGGCAGGGCAAGGAGTCGCGGAAGACCCAGCAGGTCCCTCCCAGGGGAACAAATCGAGGTTTCGGTACGACATGCGGAACGTCCCCGAGGAGGGTTCCTACGCCCTCACCGCCAGGGCTTGTACCGTGACTGTGAATCAAACGCTAAAGGTATCTCCGAACGACAACGGCGAAGAGTTCAAGGTTGAGCTCCCATACACCCTCGGCGAATGGAAAGACTCGCCCCCGGTAGTCCTTCCCCTCAAACAGGGCCACAACACTCTCTCCGTCTGGCGGGATGCTCCTCCCCAGTACGGGGTCTCCCTCAGGGAATTCCGGCTCACCAAGGTTGACTGAACCGAACCCACAAACACAGGGACAGACCMAACGCAACAAACGAACGAATGAATGAATCCATCGGAAAGTCATACACAGCGATAGAACAAACCTACTCAGTAGAATGTATTGCATCAACAACAAACAAATATGAAGAACTATGTGCAAATCAATGGTCTGACCACTGTACGAATAAAGAAACAATATTAAACGCAATCTGTTATGCTAGTCGGTTGTTATGATGGTTTCTACATCATGGAGTACGATGGATAGAAAAACCTCTGTTTTCATAGCTATCGCACCGTACTCCGAAATACATGGGTCGCGGATTCAGCTTTTGATAACTCTCGCCAAGGAATCTTCGTCAATGAAAAGTAGTAGCATGATGATCGTACAGCTTGTTCGGGAAGATAAGAGCAACGAATTGACGCAACGCAATGCGCCGAAAACACAGCTTGCTAGCTAGCCAGTGACGCTTGAAATCTAGTCGCAGCATCCTTTCTTACACGAGGAGGCCGGTTCCCCGCACTTTGCCTTCTTCGCCTCAGGATCTCCACCGTTTTGCTGAAACTTGCGGATCTCGTCGTCCTTGTCCTTCAGTTCGGCTCTTAACGTGGCAATGTATCCACGCAGGACCACCTGGTTTGCGGGAGACAGTTCTTTGAGACAGCATTTTACCTTGCAGGGGATCGGCTTGAGTTGTTCTGTATCCATGGTGGTTGTTGGTGGTTTCTGCAATAAAGATCAATAAAAAATAACATAGATTACCACAGAAGAACAACGGCACGAAACTGGCGGGAAGGGTAACTGTTACGTCTACGTTGCCATACCGTTGGAGTCTTCCTCGATCTTTGATCTGTGGTGGAAATCAATCAGGACGAATTTATGAAACGAGCCGGCCGCGTTTTTTGCGTAGGGTGCGCACGTTTTCTTCACACAAATGTTTTGTCATTTCCCGAAGTGCGGCCCAAGGAGGCGAAGCACGTGCGGAGAAAACAGATTTGTGACACGTTCCGGTCGCGCCATCGCCCCAGGAAAAAGGGCCTCGGACAACAAGGATGTACCGTATCGGAGGCCATTTTGCGAACTTTGCAGCATCAGTACGAAATTATTGATGGCAGCAATCATTTCTGGAATTTTGCTCCAATACATTAATAGCATACGTCACGTGCAGTCCATCGAACGGAACGTGACATAGTAGCCTTCACAACCTGCAAATTGGTGGCTCGAACGATTGTGGTTCTCCCAAATCGGTCCTGTTACTGATGGACTATTCCTTTAGAAGTAGTTTATTGTTATTGTTTGTGATTGAATTACGAGTAAGACTGTTTCTACCACTAGTATTACCAAAGGTAAGGTTGCAAACACCACTAAAATGAACTGGGGACGAAGAGCCAGCGCTGGTGGTAAAATGTCAACAGCAGATAAAGTAGCAAGAGCAGCTAAGAATGAGCAATTACAATCATCAAATGCGGGCTTCTCCGACCCGTACCAACCTGGAGTTAAACAGATCAACCGCAGTTTGCGATGATAATGACACAAGCTATTCAAATACAGTAGTTGGACATCACCAAATACAACAAGTACTACTACAATTACCAACTCAACAAAATATTTGCAGCAATTGAAATAGTAACTACAATAATAATAGCAGTAGTAGAACTTAAAAAATAGACTTCTAGCGTCTACGTTGCTACAGGTAGAACCGCATGTTCGTCACTTGAAAAGGTACATTCATATAAAACAATAAGAAGATTGGTGCTGCATTCAAAATACAGTTGCTCCAATTAGTACTGCTAATGCAATCCCCAAACATGCAGGAGGACATAAATTGTCAGGAAGCGGGGATGAAGTGGACAACGATACTAATCATTGTCTTTGAGAGCAGGGTATAGAACAAATTGTTTATCGCAAGGACCAAAGGAATTATTTTTCTGTCAAACTTGTAGCGTCATGACTGCACGAAAATTATTCTTGGTGTCTACTATGTAGTTACAAGACAAGAATACGATTAATTGCAAAATCATGTCTATTGCTTGCATTATGCTGCATTCCATACACGTTCCCACCATGGCACTGAACTGTTTTTACTCGCTTTTGAAACAGTTCAGAGCGCTATCGGTGTTACAGCGGAAATTGGGATTCACCATCAGCATTTGAGTCGTAACCTCTCCATCATCGTCACCAATTTCGAACCCGGCGCTCGTGGTTCGGGTTCCGATGGTACTGTCGTCAATCTCGGTGTCGCTTTCGTCACCAAGCAGGTTGTTGCACCAGTACCGCTCATCGACGGCATTCATGTGAGGGCAGTTGTAGATCCAGTGGCCGCCGCCACAAAAGTGGCACCGTGGAACAATCTGGACACCCTCCGCCTCTTTCCGCAATTGCCGTCGACGTGCTACCATCTCGGCGACATTGACCAAACTTGTAGTGGTGTTGCTGCTGACGCTGTTTGTACCACTATTTCCCGTTAGGACGGACTTGTCATAGGCCGTGGAATAATCGCCAGTGCCGTTGGAAGTAGGAGTTGCAGTGGAATAATCATCTGGGTTGACGGGAAATGATTTTCTAGTTGGTCTACGTGCCATGGCATTGGTTTCGCTGCCACCGAGGATGTGATGTATCATCCAAGCGGCGGAATCAGTGGAGTGTTGCCCCAGATTCCGATTCATGCCCTTCGATTTTCTTCTGGCAGATGATTTTTTTGTTTTTGATTGGGAAGATCGCCAGGATGTGGTCCCACACTGAACCACCGACGTGGTCTCTGAGATACGCTGTTGGAATCCCTCTTTATTACTACCAGTGATAATCACAGAAGGTTCTGTAGATGTAGTGGATTCCGAACGGAACTTGTGTTCGCGTTCCAGCTGGGCCTGCGTTATACCTTTATTTTTCTGCTGCTGCAGCTGTGCATCATCATGCCGCCGCAGATCTGTGTCCATTGTCAGTGACGATATCACCGAAGAAGATGATGGCGGCAGCGACTTGAGCTCCTTTGGCTTTTTCAACGAACTGGATGGTGATTCATTCTTGGTCAGAAGCAAGACGTCCTTCAGGGGGGATGTTGAAGACTTCTCCTTTTCGCTTGTCTGTGATGAAGGAAGGCTTTGGCTTTGCACAGGCTGTTGCTGCCGTTGTTCGCACAGCAGAAAGTGTTTCTCCGGAAGATCCGCAAGTGTGTCTCGTCGTTCCAACTCTTCTTGGATGTCGGTGACAGAGAGTTTGAAATTTTCTTTGTTTTGGGTGGGCGAGGCCTTCGATTCGTCTTCGTCTGCTTTTGTGCCGCCGGTTACAATTTCGTCTGCATTGTTCTTCCTTGGATTGTTTTTTTTCAATCTTCTCCATCTTCGACGCGTGCTTCTTTTGGAAGAACTTGGGGAGGCTTCGGCGACACTAATACTCGCGGCCAGGCTATTTCCTTCCCCATACGTATCGGCATCGTTTGAAATGAAATCGTAGCGGTCGGGCTGTCCGGGAAATGCCGATCCAAAACAATCCGCATCATTCTGCTGTTTTTCTTCATTCATTAGGAAGCAGTTCAACATCTTGAGACGGCCCATAGCAAAACCGCTGGGGCTGGTATCTTGTTGCTTTGGACTATGAGTATACCTAGCCAACGCTGTTTCTTCGTCCTTCGTCATCCCCTTTCCATGAGAAGATTGCCGGCGGGAGGCACCCCGATTGCCCGCCTCGCTTTGATCTCGTGCTTTCATTTTCTTCCTGTGTTCGTCGAGGACGACCTCGATACTGAGGCGCACCGGGGAATTCTTTTCCTTGTTTCTGTTGTCGTCGTTGTCATTGTTGCAGCTCTTATGGATTTGTGCTTGGACTAGCTTTGGTTCCGGTTCCCGACGGTTTCGATACCGACTACCGGGACCCTTTATGTGGAGGCGCAAGAGATCGTCAGGGTCGAGTCCCTTGGCCGATGCTTCCGAGGACGCGATCGAATCCGAACCACTACTTGTCGTGGAGGCGGTGGACGAGGCAAAACTCGTTCCCGTGTCCGTTTTGCTTGGTTTGTCGACGTCACTAGTGCTGTTGTGACCGCCATAGTATTGCTCCGTGCTTTGTGTTGTGACCGTTATGCGATCATATGGTTCTTGCAGGTTTTTTGATTGGCGTCGGTCTGCCTTTCTAGTGAAAAAGTTGCGAGGGCTCATTGTACAAACGAGAGATGGCTTTGTGTCACTTCAAACAAGAATTTTCGTTCCTTTCGAGGCAGATAGTCGTCGCTGTTGTGGAGTGCAGTGTTATTGACAAATTGATTTCCACTTGTGTTCAGTGATGTCTGTAAAGCAGGCGACTTTTATAAGATTCGATTCTATCAAGTTCCGTTCTGTTCTTGCGTCCAATCGCCCCCCTACAAATCAGGGTGAATCGGGACGACTGAGGAGCTGTTTGTGTCCTTGTGCTTCTCAAATTCCGATCTGAGCGATAGATATGATCTATATGTTTCGATGGGTCCGATGCGCATTTTTTGTGTATCGTTTTGATTCCGCACTAAGTACTCGTACTCGCGTGCCGATACAGTTTTGATTCTGTTGCACCTTGCCCACCGAAAATGAAGAATACTTGGACGACCTCGTTGGAAAATTTTATGTCGTTCACAGAGAGGTCCCGGAAGGTTTTGGGGGGCTATTTATATTTAAATTTCATTTTTCTCATAGTATACTTTAAATTCTCGGCGGGATATTTGTCAGAACAACGGACATCAGATCAGTGAAGAAGGTAAAGAAACTCCAATCCTTTCCAGTGTGCAAGTAGTATCAAAGACACCCCTGCCCAACCAGAGGCTATCTTTCCCGCCAATTGCCCAGAAAGTTTGGTCGCTCTTGCTGAAGGAAAAGGCTGCCAGAATAATTTAAATAATAACGTGGAATGTGTGTTTTTTACTGTACCAGAGGTGGTAAAAGCATGATTTCTACAACTGACTGTCGGTACAAACTAGGGGCAATACGACGTTCACATCTTAAACCAACACACTCTGGTTTCGATTCCATGCATTGCGCGGAGCGCCATTCGCACTTCGCGCTCATCGATTGATATGCTTTAACGCTTTTAACGGTCTATGCTTGCTTTCGAATAGCCCCAGGAAAAAACACTGGATACTCGCTATTCATAAGAAGTGCTGTACGTACGGTAACTGGCACTTGGTACTTGTACCCCTGCTTATCATCTTACATTGGGTCATTCCCGATAACATATATCTGTGTACTTTTTGGCACGCCCGGCTCGCATTATGACCCAAAATACATAAATTTTGGTTGTAGTGATCCTCCGGCAACCAAGAAATATGTAATTTACATATTTTTGAATTGGAATCCTTGACTTAACCATTCAGTCTCGGGAGCAGGCGCGCCCTAAACAGGCGGCAAACCGATTCAAGTGTCAAGGAAGAAAAAAGCACATCTTTTCTTCGACAGCAGCAAAGAGAAGGAATGACAACAAAGAGAAGGAACAACAAAGAGAAGGAACAAAGAGAAACAGCAATGCTGAGGATGGTTGTTGGCGCGTGGAGCCCTCTACTTAATTCTAATACAAGCATCCAGATTCTTCTGTTGTGGAGAATGCAGCAGCAAGCGCGGCTTGCTACTAGTAAGAGGAGGAGGGAAGAGAGCCGGCGCTCTCTTGAGAGGGAGGAAGACATCGAAATCCCATGTGTGATTAGCATACCCTCCTCTTTGCTGGCTCATAAAAGAAGGATCATGGCTCCACCAGCTCCAGCTCCAGCTCCAGCAACAACAGCTGCAAGGTGGGCTCAAGCACCAACAGCAGGAGCAACAGCTGCAAGGTCGACAGCAGCAACGCGTCCAGCAAGGTCGATTGCTCAAGAAAGAGGAGGAAGATCCAAAGGTTCCACCAACTACACSCATAGAGAGACCATGGACTTGCTGACACTCATGAGGAGGATCATTCCTATTGGACCAGAACAATGGAGAGTTGTTGTTGATACYCATGAAGAGAACTGGGGGACTGGAAGAGACAAAGATTCCATCATCAGGAAGTACTCCACCCTCCACAGGAAACAAATTCCTACTGGGAATCCGTACATGTCGCCAGCAATCAAGCTTGCAAAGGAGATCAAGGAGTTGATTGGTGCCAAGGCAGCCCTTGGAGATGGGGAAGAGGAGTTTGATCTGGAACAAGGATACGTGATTAGTGAGGATAACACCAATTGTGAAGACAACAATGAGACCCCAAGTCCTCCTTGCTGGCAACTTACACAGCCTTCGCAACTTAMCCAAGAAACCGCTGCTGAGCTTCTCACTCCTCGGTTTGAGACGATTTCACCCACTCATCACAAGACGCCGACTCAGCTTCTTGAGGAGGAGGAGACACCAACACAGCTCGCTGCAACTCAGATGGTGCAGCTTGCTCAAGGACCAAGAACTCAGCAATCGTCGACTCAGCAAACACAGCAAACACAGGAAACAACCCAATCAACTTCCGAACCTGGTGAGCACTTCTCGCCCTCGCGCTCCCCTCAAGAGAGCATACTCAAAAGCTTCCACCAGAGGCTCCAGCAGTATCAGCAGCATCAACACTGATATCACATCCATGTTCCACTTGTCCATGAAGCACCAAGAAACACTTGCTCAAGCGTCAATGCAACAGTATCAGCATACTTTGGCTGAAATCAAAGATATGGTTCGTGTTGTTGCCAGCATGTTTGTCCAGGACAGAAAGAAGAGGAAGAAGAAGAACAAGAAGAGACAGCGTGAGCGCGAGGACTCGTCGTCCTCCTCCTCCTCAGAGGATGATTCGGTGTAATCCCATGGTTAAATACAAATTAAGATTACTAAATTAAACTACTGTTTGCTGATTGCTGTTTGCTCCACTCCTTGCTGCTGATTGCTGTTTGCTCCACTTGCTGCACTGATTTATGAGTACTGAATACTAATACTGCTTCTAAATCCAATACGCGATACTACTACGTGTAAAAGGAATCATACACGATACTTCGTGTAAAAAGGTTCACATGAAAACTTGTTGGATCGTTGGATCCCGTGTCCATTGAGTTAGCTCTATGTAAACGAAAGCATGCCAGCAAGTTAGCTCTATGTAAACGAAAGCATGCCAGCAATCGTGTGGGATTCCAACGTGTTCCCTCTTAGTTACCGGTCCCGGTTCCTTCCCACGAAAACTAGCAACACAAAATAACACGGCGCTACAGTGGGAAAGGAACTCAAATAACACGGTGTATTGTGTAGGTACCTTCTTGTTTGCTCCTTTTTGCTCACTCGTCACTCTTCATAATGTAAATGGAGTAACTGGAGTAACTGTAGAAATAGTAATTAGTAATTCATTACACTTAGATAACTGAAACAACCATGGGGATAACACAACCATGGCGCAATTGACAATTGACAATCTGCAACGCAATTGACAATCTGCACCAATCAACAATCCTCACGACAACAAGCCAGGGAAAGAGCTGTTGGTGTCCCCATTGGGCTGAAGTTGGTAAGCAAAGTATCCTATCTGTCTCGTCCCATAGGATTCCCTCAGCTTTTCAAAGGATTCAAAGCCACTCGTATCGCTCATGAAGCTGTTGAGGATCTGATTAATGCCCACCTTGCTGCACTGATAATTATACAACAACAACATGAGGTTAATGATAACCTTCCTATCACTAAATTCCTCCAGTTTCATTCTTTCTTTCATTCTTTGGAATTGCCCCTGGATCATTCGCATGCCCCATTCTGACAGCTGTCAAACTGCTGTGGCTTCTCGGTTAAGTACAATAGCATGATTGTTCTCTGCCATTGTGGGGAATGTATCTGGATCATTTTGCTGGCTTCGAATGAGATACTTTGCCCCTCTCACCTTAAAGGCCGAGTCAACAACAACTGATCCGCCATTCCTCTCATATATTGCCTCCAGCTTCTCGTATATGCCATAATCTGCCATGGTRCTGTCATGAAAAGTCCCAGGACAGTTAAATATTGCCATCCGGATTTGTCCGTCGGGGGCAAAGACAAGGCAACTATTAATGTAAGTATCCATGCCCCACCCATTATAATACATAGCCTGAATATGCCAATTGGTAGAGTGCTCAAGCTTAATTTTTAGCACATCTGCTGCACCCCAAACCTTCTTTGTTCCAAGTGTCGGGTACTTCCTTGCTATTGCTGACACGTATGCCTCTACTTCTTCATCGATTGGGGGCCTAATGATTGAATTTGGGTGTTTTTGCAACACAAAAAGAAGGACTCGTCTAGAAAATCTCAACCATCTGTACAGGGGAGTGGAGGTAAGTCCAAATACCATAGACAAGGCCCTAGCTGCTGATCCTCGCATCCTGTACCAAGTCAACACCAAAGCTAGCCCAACAGTTGGGGTTATCAGTCTTGGTTTCCCCTTGGGTTTGCCTTCCTTCGTAAATAGCCAAGGTCTGATTTGCTCAGTGTGTCTGTCCACAGTGTACATATCGAACACTGGCTTAAAAATGGAGAGGAGCTCCCTAAAGACAGGATGGTCTAGACCACAGCAATTTAGCAGAGCCTGGTCATCTCCAGAACMAAACAGATAAGTGAATGGGGATTCAGTACACCCCATAAGTGCAATCCTTGGCATCCTCCTGTCTCGTCGGCGCTTGTCGTGAAGGGACAGCCGATGGCTGCTGGAGAGCCCAGCACCATGCAATTAAAACTAACTGAAAGGAGGACATTTTTCCTGTGAAGGAGCAATCGATTGCCAAATAGTGAGGGTAGGGACTGTTTTGTGCTGGTTGTTGGTGTTGTTCTTTYSGAGGAGGATTCAATTTTGGAGGMGAAGGATTTTCGAGGATTCTGTTTCCGAAGTTTTGAAGGCAGAGCTGGTTTGGTGAAAATCCCAAAGTTCCCGCCACTTTGGAATTTTGTGAAATAGCATGCAATTTATACAGGATTCCAAATTCCAAAAATGGGGGGGGAATATGTAAGATGAGCTGTCTGTCTGTGTCTTCTGTACCACTGAATGTGATTCCTGAAAACATACCGCGATATATGTTATCGGGAATGACCCATTCCCTCTTATCTTCCCGCCAATCAACTCACCGTTCTATGTACGTGCGAGTACGATACCGTACTTAGCTTTTGAGAAATTTAATTCGAGAAATTTTTGTTTTTGTGAGTCAGCAGCGTGTTGGTGAGTCGTGCATGCTCGTTGCTTGTCATACGGTAGAATGTTTGACAAGACGAAAAAATTATCGAAGACCCAACAGTAGGTTCGGTACGTACTCGTACGTACCGAAGGAATATCCTACAAAATACTTCCAACTTCTCATACTATTGATCCAAAAAACACATTGACTTGCTTTGTCTCTTCGCTTGGCTAATCAATCGCATTGAAAAAAGATACACCATGGTAGTTAGCACATCCGCATTGACGTCGGCGTCGACACGATGTTTTTGGGAGACCTCTGAAGTCGTTGATGGTTCGAAAAAGAAGAAGAGATCAAACCAAAGGAGCAAGGCAGCGGTCTTTCTGCATCGAAAGCGAGTGGCGTTGTCGTGGGCCACAGCAATGGCGACAATGCCCGCGATATTCTCTCCCTGGCATGGACCATCTTTCGCAGAGGCGTTTGCGTCACCGGGGCAACGGACGCAGCAGAGGTCGCGGGGGACTACTCGACGAGCCGCAAACAAAACGGAGATGGAGAGAGTTGGCACGGTGCATGGTAAAGACGTGTCGGAGCTGTATCCGGAGAATTTTTCCGAAACAATGCTGCGCAACGTATTCGGCTTTGGGAACCATCCGCAATGGAAAGAGCGCGTGACCTACACGGACGCGAATGGGATTGTTCGGCCGCCCCTGGATTCCATGACCGGGAGGGTTGTGGTCATTACCGGTGCCTCTTCGGGGCTGGGACTAGAGACCGCAAAACGCCTAGCTATGGCCGGGGCCACCGTTGTCCTCACGGCCCGGACCGCGGATCGGGTGCGGTTCGCTGTGAATGCCGTCCGGGACTACTGCCGTGGGCGCGGCAATGGGAACAACGAACGAAAAAATATGGATCCGGTGGTGCGTGGAATCGAGCTCGACCTGGACGATCTCTCGTCGGTCCGGTCGTTTCCCGATCGGTACAAAGACTGCCTGCTGTCTTTGTCAAAAATCACCGACCGGGCCGCGGACGCCAAGGCGAAAATGAAGCGCGCCAAGGAAGGGAGAAAGTCTATTCCGCCACCAAGCGGGACCAAACCGATCGATGTCCTGGTCAACAACGCCGGCGCCGGGGGATTCCCTTCGCGGGAGCTTACGGTGGATGGCTTCGAACGGACCTTCCAATCCTGTTACCTGGGGCACTTTTTGTTGACGGCGAGCCTCTTTGGGGAGGGCCTCTTGAAGGAGAATGACGGCGAGGGAGAGGGCTGCTGCACGGTAATCAATGTGTCTTCGTTGGCTCACAGGGGTGCACGGGCCAGTCACGGGGAGGGTAGTGAAGACGCTGCATTCGGTTTCGATTTCGAAAACATCCAGTCTGAAATCGCCTATACCGACGACGTGTATTCGCAGTCCAAGCTGGCCAATATTATGTTCACGAAAGAACTCGACCGGCGCGCCAGCGGGCGATTGAGGTCCGTCTCTCTCCACCCGGGCATCATCGCCAGCGACATGTGGAGGTGCCTGGATTCCTTTGGGTACGACACCAGGAGCTACAACGAACGGCTACGAAACGGTGAGAGGCTTGGAGAGCAACCTGCGGGCATGGGCTGGATGGAACGTGTGATCATCTCACCGTTCTACTTCAGCGTAATGACGCCAGTGGAACAGGGAGCGAACTGCCACGTCTATCTGGCCTATGCTGCGGCTACCGACTTCGATGGAGAGAGTGTTCAGAGCGGACAACACTACGGCGAGTTCGGTACACCCGAGCCTACTCTAGACTTTGCCAGCGACGAAGATTCTCTAAGACGGTTGTGGGAGGTGAGCGAAGAGTTGGCAGGAATCCGATTCGATCCATCTTGCTAATCCATGGTATTTGAATGAAACCATCTTGTGTACAGTATGAATGGTAATGATATTGGATGCGCTAATCTGCTTTGATATCATCAATCAGTATAAGTTACGTGCTTTATTAATTCATGTAGGATTTGCCAACAAAGAAATTGTCAATCGACCGTTGGTGCGCTCCAAGCTACGGCCTCGTTTGCTTGAGTCTAGTAGCTAGGAAGACTCTTGGTTACCAGAGTGATACCGGCCCGCATTTTTGGGTCCGTTCACAACTTCCAGACCTTTCTAGCGAGGTCAATGCACATATCGTGGTTTCGCCTTACGGCGTGTACGTCCCACGTTTGTGATTTGGCGATGTCCTTCGTCAGAGGATACGGCGAGTCGATGAGATGCTCTTTCTTTGTTTCGAAACTACCGTTTCCGATCTTGCTGTTCGTATTCCTATTGAGGAGTGCCAGATTTCCAAGCCTGTCTTTCCATGTTGATGCATCTGTGGGATCCCATGTCTCGTTCCATGAATTCAAATTTTTATGGTGCTGGGGCAAAACGTGCTCGATGTGCCTACCCGCATTCGTAGGTTCAAGCCTGCTTTGAGAGTTTTTAAAGAGTACATACTCGTTGAGACGTGCTAGTATCGCCGCTGCCTTCTTTCGTTCCGCCGGTTTTCCAAACTCAAAATTGTGTAGGCCTTCAACAACCGAAGACCTTTCATCATATGAGAGAGAGGCGTTGCCCTGGTCCTCGATGATACTCAAACAGCGTCCAAACCGATCCTTCGGTTTTGGCTTGGTAACCATCATCCAGAGAGCGATTGTCTCGACGTTCTTCAATATCTTTGGCACAGCGCTTTTGTCGATGGCCTTTGCATTACATTTGCTGACGATGTCGAGTAAAACCATTTCAATCTCTTTGCAGGTTGCGATTTTAGCAGTAGCGCGTAGAAAGCTAAGGCTTGGTGGTTCCATATCATCTGTCTCATGTAGTTTGAAAATTCCTTCTCGAAAATCATTGAGGGCCCTGGCTGCAGGTGTGATATTATATTTAAATAGAGCCTCTCCTTTGTCGGAAGTTTCAGCACCGATACTAGATATAGTATCTCGAAAGGTCTGTTCAACAATAGAGATTTCTTCGTTCTTCTTTATCTTGGTGCCTTGGCGTTGTTGTGCCAAAAGAACACACGCATCTTGTAGCGTGTCACGACCTATATCTTCGCAAAGCTCCTCCCAGCTCTCCATTGTAGTCTCTTGAACACTTTCGTTCTCGTTTAAAAAACTTACTGTCCCCTTGTACCAATCCACGGGTTCGATGCTCTTCCCTTTGCCTTGACTCATGACAAAATTTCGAGCAACGTTGATGTCGGAAGTAATACTCATTAGTACATATACATCTGATGAGATATGTATTATGAGCTGACGAATTTGGTTCTCGCTAAGTTCGTCAAGTCTTCTTCGAAAATAGTTGTAAATGCAAATAATTTTTTGGTCCGGTTTGGGAACACCAAGCCTTCCCCACGCCCTTTCCTTTGGAAGGAGATTAATCACATCCTCTTCTTCGTTTGCTCCGCTAGATATCAAATCCAGCCATTTATTACCATTCCTCTCGCGCACTTTGATTCTGCAGACKGGAGCAAACAATGGATCTTGGGGAAATATCATATTTGCCACTTGTTTCGCAATAGCCACACTTCTCGGAGAATCGGGAAAATTATTGAGCAAAGCATCCCGAATGGCAGCCAGCAGCAAGTTCAAGGTCACCAACCGCTGTTGTCCATCATAGACGTCATAAACTACGCTATTCCTTCCAATGTCCCCTCCCTTTTCGACTAGTATATCATCTGGCGTATCACTCTGCATGAGTAGCATCAAGTTCAAGTCGAGGAAATTATTCAGAGGATTCTTTTCGTCGATATCATTAATGCTCTCGAACAAGTCCTCCGCCTCCTTTTCAGTCCATTCGTAAGAGCGAACGTTTTTCTTGGTGTTGAACAAGTATTCTCGCTCGCCATTGAATATTCGTCCAAGAGACAGGCGTCTTGCCTGCAGAACAGAATTATCGTCACCCCCATTCGAAGAAGAAGTGTCTGATGCCCTCAGTGCACCTCTTGAGTCAACGCGTCTCCTATCTTTCCATTCGAGGTGTGAAAACTGTTGCGTACTTCGAAAAAGAAAGGAACAAAGAATTATGTATCCCTTCAACATAATACTTTTTCAGACGTAGAATGCGCTCTGGAACAGTGTAGTTGGGTGCCATTACCAACTCTCAATTACTATTCTGCCTAGATGTTTGTCGATCAGCTGTAACGACGATGAAGACACGAGAAGCAACAACCATACGATTCTTGATGTTTCCTTTTTGGGATTGGGACTTTTCAAGATTTCAAGATAAATTGAGGGATGATTTTTTCCGAAGTTCTTCCCGCGCCAAAAAAATATTACGCCAAGAAACAAGAATTTCATTGAATTACGTATGTACGGTACTCAAAATTGAGAGGTTTGGTTTTAGAGCGTACCAACCACATTATTTTTTCAAGTTCTTGATTTTTTTGAAACAAAATAAATGTAAAATATTGTCAGTTGGCTCATTTTGTGAGGTTAAATTCCGAGTAGCTGGTGAATAACCTCACTCCTCTATTGTAAACCACGTAATAACACATAGCAGGGAGCCTATCAACATTCACAGGTTATGAGCAACAAGGAAACATACCTCAACTCATCAACCATCATCAGACCAATTGGATAGAGAACAGTTGGACAATAGCAGTTTGATTTACTGTCCCACCTCAAACACAGAGCCAGCGATGAACTTCAAAGTTCCGAGTCTTTCACCGGCAGAGTTTTAGGAAACCAGCGGAGGAGAACCCAGTACTAAATCACATAGATTCTACAGTAACATTCTCCAGATGACACACTGGTGTCACAGAACCAGAACCAGCAGAACACTGCTTAAAAAAAACATATCCTTCAACAAAATACAGCAGATACCCTGTTCACAGCACCACAGTCAACAGCACCAAACAGCAACAGCAATATCATGCCCCAATCATGTTGCTGTTACTACTAATAGTAATAGATCTTCTTCGCAACAACAAATATTCTTCTTGTTGTTTTCTTCTTGTTGTTTCATCATGTGATTTCTTGTTACGCAAGAGTAACAACAAAGGCATCTTGTTTTTCTTTCACATTTTTCACCACACCCTTGACACTCCACATAACATTTTTTCAGATTTTAAAGAGTTGCTGTTGGTACTACTACTCATAGTGGTATAGGGGGGCAACGAATTTATTCTGTGCATGTCTCCAACAAATGCAGTTTTGTTATTTCCTATTACTACCACAAGTCAGATTTCTTGCCTCTTCATTTTCCACTAAAAGTTTTATTATCCTATCAGCAGTATAAATAAAACAGGGAAAACAAGAATATCTAGAGAAGAAGAAACTGCTGTACTGCTACTACAAATCACTCTTGTGAGAATGATATGTGCCTACATCTTGACTACAAAATCACTGTGGATGATAAATCAGTACATCATGTACATACCTTAATTTTTATGCTTTGCCCCTACAATTTCGTATTTCCTCGTAGTATTTTAATTGCATTTAGAAGTGACTAAATGATCCAAAATAAAAATTCAAAGATTGCTAAAACAGATTAACTTCTCTTTCCAATCAGTAGTTATTTGCATTTTTTGGTGCTCTCGTTTCTTGTTCAACTTGAAATCGCGAACCATTGCAAATCACCAAACAGGATGCCATCGATGCATCAATTGCATGGCGCTGTGGATCATTCGCTTTCCCCAACCCGGGTGCAATCAAAAATTATGTTCGAAACGTGTACCTTGTCTCCCCATTTCCTGCAATCATCGCACCGTGCAAAAAAAATCATCACTGCCCCCTTATAATTCTAACGCCTCCACTAGAATTTGTTGGAATCCTATTGGTTGTGGCCGTGATTCAATTAGCGTGGTGGTGACGTGTGTCAAAGGGACCATTGGAACCCATATTAATATTGTTTCCACCCATGGCATAACTGTTGTTTGGATCGGTGTTTCCATTCCTCCAATTGTTCACCTCCCCGGCATTCAATCCAGAGCTGAGTATCGGTTCGTGTGTTCCGAATGTTGAGTTGCGACCCGGGAGAAAGTTGTTGGCGTTCCTGTTGTTGAAGTTGAGGCTCTGCGATCGCTGCTGTTGCTGCAGATGGTGCTGCTGCTGTTGTTGTTGCTGTTGGTGTTGGTGTTGGTGTTGGTGTTGGTGTTGGTGTTGGTGTTGGTGTTGGTGTTGGTGTTGGTGTTGGTGTTGGTGTTGGTGTTGGTGTTGGTGTTGCTGCTGCTGTTGGAGAGGACCAAACCCATTGACGCCGTTGCCGCATTCCCCACCGGCCATGGCTAGTATGGCGGAGACTGCGGCAGCCGTGTTGTTGCTGCTGCCGCTGCTTCCGCCGTGGTGGTTCGCCATGTAGGCACGGCTGTTCGCGGGGGTGCTGGACCGCCTCGGGGCCACGTGTCCATCGTTCCCAAACCTCGAGCCCTGGTGGTGGTGGTTCACGCTGCCGCCGAAAAAGTTCTTTCCGAGGGCCGCGGCCCCCGCGGCGGCTGCTGCGGATCGTTCGCTCGCGGCCGCATCGGGCCGCCGATCAAGCCTCGACTGGGAGGAGTTCTGAATTATGCCGATGGACCCCACTCCCTTGCCCACGTCGGGGGTTCCCCACGAGGCATTGTGGGCGCCGAGGTCCTTGGCCCTGCCCGTGTTTTTCAATAGGGAATCGGTCGAATCGTTCATCATAGTCAGGATGGATATGCCGCTCATGTGGGCCATGGAAAGTCCGCCGACCATGCCCCCGGTCATGTTGTCGATGGTACCGATCGTATCGTTGGAAGAGTTGTGCATAGAAGCGTCTTCGTTCGATCGAACGGACATGTCCTTGAAGGATCCCATCATTGTACTCATTTGCGTTATGGATTTATCGTCCTTTGTGTTCCGGATTTCTTTTTTCCTGTTTTCGTCTCTGCCGCCTTTCGAGGAGGTCTTGAGCATCATTTCCTTGGCTTCTCCCATGCCGAGGTTGGAGTCGAGGCGATGGGAGTTCGTTTCCTGTCGATTTCCTTCCATTTTGTCCAGTGTCGTGGTGTAGGTTGCCATTCCGTTCAAAAAGTTCGGAGGTCCTTCCTGGGACGGGTGTCGCAAGGGGATAGTCTGCTCCTGTCGAGGTTGTGACCGGTGCGGATTCGGTTGTGGGTCGTTTTGTTCCTTGGAGAACAACGGCGGACCGCTCACGAATTTTTGCATCTGTTGCAGCTGGAGCTGTCGGAGCTGCTCTTTTCGGATCTCGACCTCGAGTTCTTTCTGGATCATTTGTTTGTGCTGCTCCAGCAGGAACCTCGTCTGCTGGTTCTGACCAAATTGCTGCTGGTACTGCATGAGCATGTCGTGTTGGTGCTGCAGGTCGATCAGCGCCTGGTTGCCACTCGTTGGTTCCCGTTGCTGCTGGTCGTGCTGGTGGAATCTTTGTTGGTGGAAGGGGGAATCCTGCTCCTGCTGCTGATGTTGCTGCTGAGACGACGACGAATAATTCGAATTCGGAACGTGGAAGGGTTCCATTGCGGCGTTGCTCTGGATCCCAGCACCTCCAAACATGCCTCCTTGGTGCTGCCGGAGACCAATGTTGTTGTTGCTGCTGCTAGTGCTGCTGGTATTGTTGTTGGCTCCCGGCGATATTGAGGAGGCATTGTTCAGCCTCGTTGGGATGCTACCGTTTCCATTGGCAACACCGGTCCAAGGATTGAAACTGTTGGTTTCCAAACCGCTGCCCATGCTGTGCCTCCGGGCGCCGCAGCTGCTGCTGTTGCGGTTGTTGTTCAAGAGCACGTCGTGCGGCGAGGAATTGTGGGATATCTTGTTCTTGTGCACCGGAGACCCCATGACGGGCGGATGCTTGGAAAGCATCGGGGAATGTCCCTTTCCGACGGGAGAATCGGAATGGTTCGGAGATCCGCCCCGTTGGTTCTGGCGCAGGGCCTGCTTGGCCTTTTCCATGACGATCGAGTGCTTCTGGATCTGGTAGACCTCCCTGGGTTCCTCGCCCAGTTCGCCCGGGGCCGTGTCGTTCTCGTCGTCGTCGATGCCCATGTCTGCCAGCACCTTTGGAAGCATCCTGGCGGTCTCGGCGGTGCCGAGTTTCTTCAGGAAACGCCCGCCCCGCTCGTACACCTGGTCGACGATTTCCTTGGCGATGAAGGCCTTGGTCTGGCGGTGGTTTGTCGAGAGGTATTCTGTCTTTCTCGAGTGGACCAGGTCTCGGAACTTGATGTTCCCCACGTGGTCGTTCGGTCCGGATCCCCGGCCGAGCATGACGTCGTGGTTCAGGACCTCGAGGACGTACTCGCACCGGTTGCTGTCGGCGGCCGTCCACGGGCGGGTTCGGTGCGCCGGAGACCGCTTGCGGCCGCCGCCGCCGCTGCTGTTGTGGGCTTTCTGGTCATCCTTGCTGTCGTCCTTGTCGCCGTCGCCGCTGCTGCTCGAGATAACGATGTTCTTGTCGTTTCGGTGGTCCACGTCGGCGATGTTCCGTCGTTTGGAAGATTTTTCGGGATCCATCATCTTGGTGCGACTTCAATGCGACGCGATTCAACCTAACAGAACAGAATGGAATGGAACGAACGCCTTCAATGGAAAAGGGATTGCCCGGAATATGTTTTTGCTTTCTCGCCGTTGCTGGTTGTTCGGATGGTACGTGGTATTGTTAACAGGTTAGTGTAGTCGTGCTTTGGCTTTGGATGTTGTTTAGTTTGTTGTCTGACGGAATATATCACAGCCCAGTTTCTTCGACTTACTTCAGTGGTAGGTGCTATTGAAGTGGCAATCACAAAAGACAGAGCGAGAATCGGATTTTTTATGTTAACAAAAATATTGATTATTGATACAAAAGGTGTTGTCAAAACATTAAGTGGCAGTATCTGTACTAATGATAGACAAAATAAATTTGTTTCCTATTCGTACGTGTGATGTTCAATTAAAATTATCGTCTGTAGATTGCACAAAGAACGTCGTACGATAAGCGCACGATAGTCTCGTGGTTCGGATCAGAATACGAAGCAAGAATTGCAACCTAACCCGCAGAACACAAAAAAACCTCAGCAAGTGGTTTATCATTTCTTATCAATGGAGACCCGTGCAGTAACAAGTACGGTAGAGGCTGTGAGTGGCTTACAAATAATTATTGGTAATCATTTGAATTTATGTGAAACCACGCACACTCGTCGCGGTTTTAGGGCTTTAAGACAACACAATACACGTTGCGTGCTTGTTGCGTGGGCACTATTTGGGGTCTTTGTAATGAGATCAAAAGCGTTAGTTGATAATTTGTAGTGGTATCTCAATGCTAATTATAGCCTTGACTTCAAAGAAAGTATATAAATCGACTTAATGTGATTTTTTCGCTGACGATTCGAGTCATTCGATTGGTTTGTTCAACAAGATACAGTAAGTATTAGCTTCAACAATAGATTATGATGATGACCCTTTTGTGGAAGAGTCTATGATTGACAAGATTGGGAAAGACCATTACAATGATGTGCAACTCACTATTTACTGTCGTGCGCGACATTCCTATCCCCAACTGGCATTTATGCTCATGAGACCAGTTTTCGCGCCACCAGAACCATACATACGTGCTACAAACGAAAGGTTTTATTAAGGATCAGGTTGAAGTAAGCTTTCTTCTTCGCTCTGGCCTCGCAAGAGACCCGCCAGTTGAACATTATTATGTTTCTTGAGTTTGATTCCAGTGCAACGTAAATCCGGCAATAGAAGTAGAGAACAATGCCGTACCATAAAATAAACATAACATAAGCTCATAGGATAAATATATTACGACCAGAACGTACCACCTTCCGAGTACGACTACGTACACAAGATTCTTTCTAATCGTATCAAAAACTCCCATTCCTCTGTTGGTCCCAATCAAAAATACGAGAATACTACCAGCCATCCCTTTCAGCACCAGTGCCTAGTAGTATCCCAGTTCACAAGGTTCAATAATAATAAAATTCAGGTGAAAACAATTATTACTTCTGTCTCTCTTATCTTTTTTCTTGATGTAAATAGAGGGAATTTATGTGATCTACAAGTTGTATTGTTAGTGATCTGCTCCTGCTGGTGAGATTTTGAATTTTGAGATATTCTCAAAAAAATAGTTATCGACAGCACCACTCAACAGCAAGAGCTATCAAAAGAACAACATGAGGAGAAGATTGAGGAGCTTCTTGGCTTCTTCTTTGTCTTTAGTAGCAGCACAAGCACCAAGGGAAGGAGATTCTTTTTGCCATTCTTAGTAGTACTAGTAGTAGTAGTAGTACTATAGTAGGCAAGGTTCTTCTCTTTGTGGTATGGGGGCTAGTACTTCTTGTTTGGCTGCCTTAGTAGTTCTGATGATGAGGCAATCAAGGTAAGTGCTAGTTGGTTGCTCATAGTAGACCTAGTCCTAGTAGTAGTAGTAGTACTAGTACTAGTAATCCTGGTAGTAGTAGATACAAATAGTAGTAGTACTAGTACTACTAGCTAGTAGTACTAGTATTAGTACTACTACTAGTAATAATAAAAATACGGTTCACACTGGTGGTGGTACCAAAGGATAAAAGTAGTCACTAGCTATTAGTAGTTATTTTGCATCATTGAATAAAATATGACATTGTTTTTTTTTCTCAAATAAATTATGTTCCTCATTCTTCTCCTTGTTGTATCTTTTGGTAGTACTACTAGTACCTATAGGTGTCTTCACCCTAGTAGTATTCTAGTAGTTGTTTGTGCTATTAGTTCTTTCTGGTGCCACTGCTGTGGTGCCCTAGTGATCTCATTACAACTACTACAATGGAAGAGGAGCAATCAGCACATGGGGTTCTCACCACAATCACTCTTCTTCTTCTAGAACTCTACTTCCAGAGTGCTGTGTAGCCAGACTACACAAATGGGCTGAGCCAAGAACAAGAAGGATCCATTGCTTGTCACCACTGGTGGGAACCAAAGAAGCAGCAGGAGACAAGAAAGAGGTTGTGCAGCATTCTGGTGGCAACTATGAACTCCTCAGATCCTTTGCAGGAGGAGTGCTGGTGATCATGGATACAAATATCATTACCAAAACATTTACAGGAATCTGTCAGCAGCCAATTGGCTTACACCAGCAAGCAAGTGGTGGTGCTGGGAACAGGATGCTGGATGGATCTCACTGATCAAACAGGAGGTGATATCATACTATACATTTGTTTCACCTACTAGTAATAGTACTACGTCACAAAAAGTGTTCGCAAGCAGTAGCGACCGCTCGCAACCTTTTTTTTTTAAATACACAC